ATTTTAATGCTCTTTTTTTTTGCCATTTTCAGAAAGCCCCTAAAGAAAAATATAGTGTAAGAAAGATGTTTTCAATTTTTTTCCATCAATTAAGCCAGGAAAGTGACATTGGTGAGCAAAAAAGAGGGGACATAAATAAATAAAGACAAAAACAAAACCACGAGAATATGTTCCTAGTGCTCAGAATGGTGCTGGCAAATAGAAGTAGTTCAATAAAATATAATCCAAATGAAAACTGAAAACACCATTTCTAGGTTAGACTTCTGAAACATACTACCAGAACTCTTCCTTCTCATGATTATCCTTTTGGTAACTGGCTCTTCCTCCTGCTCAGAGAATTTCTTTCTTTCTTTCTTTTTGACTTGAAGCTTTATTTTATTTTTATTTATTCATTTTAATTAGTTATATATGATAGCAGAATGCATTTTGAGTCACTATACACAATTGCAGCACAACTTTTCATTTCTCTATCTGTACACGATGTAGCATCACAACCTATGTGTAATTATACATGTACCTAGGGTAATGATTCCTTCACATTCCATTCCACCATCTTTCCTGCCCCCATGCACCCTCCCCACCCTCCCTCCGCTTTGCCCAAAGTTCCACTATTTTTCCCGTGCTCCCCACCCCTCCCCATTGTGGATCAGCATCCACTTATCAGAGAGAACATCTGGCCTTTGGTTTGGGGGAACTGGCTTACTTAACTTAGCATGATATTCTCCAACTCCATCCCTTTACCTGTAAATGCCATGATTTTATTCTCTTTTAATGCTGAATAACATTCCATTGTGTATATATAACACAGTTTCTTTATCCATTCATCTATTGAAGGGCATCTAGGTTGCTTCCACAGTTTAGCTATTATGAATTGAGCTGCTATGAACATTGATGTGGCTGCATTACTATAGTATGCTGATTTTAAGTCCTTTGGCTATAGATCAAGGAGTGAGATGGCTGGGTCATATGGTGGTTCTTTACCTAGTAGATGATCTTCCCACTAGCCTGGCATCTCAACTTTTGACTGGCTCTCCTCCAAGGACCCTGTTCCTTAACCTGTCCCTACAACTCACTTACACAAAAAGACATTGAATAATGTCAGTAGCAGAAAATTCACCCCTCCATGAACTTGATTTTTGAGATGTCTTCTTTACCTACCACTTGCTCTCCTTACAGTTTCCTCCCCCAGTCTCCCAACTCAAACAATTACCCAAGCCCCGCTGGTGGCTCCAACTCATTGACTTCTATCACCTTACTCCTGACCCTCACCTCTCTTGTATGTCATACCTCCCTTTTCCCAAAGTTGAGTCCATGTTCCATCATTACTGCAACTCCTTTATACTCCTTTTTCTCCCTTGCCGTCTCCGCATCACCTCTGCTTGGCTATATTCAACTTTCTGGGGAATTCCCCACTTTCATTGGAGCAACTAAACATGGGTGAAGAAAACCATTCACACTAATTGTTCTCACTTTTAATCCATCACTGACCTCAAGCTAGCCCTTAATGTTGTCTTGCAGTTTTGCTAGAAATTGCTAGTTTGTTAATCTACCTACTTCTGGACTGAATTTTTATCTCTTCTCTCCTCTAACCTCCACATCTCCTTCCTTCTCAAATTTAGTGGATACTCTTGCTTCTTATTTCATTGAGAACATCTAAATGTTCCCACACCCAAATCCACCAACCTATTATTATCCACCCCTCTATTCCACACTCTCCTGTTAAAAAGGATAAATGCTTTGCCCTCTTACAAGGCCAGCTGAGCCACTGGTACACTGGACCCATCCTGTCACTGTTTTACAGCAGACTCTCTCTTCGTGTCACTGGTTTTTCCCCTCCTGTAGGACCGTCCCCAGGAGCACGCAAGATGCTGAATCATTCTTCAGCCTGTAAAGACACCACTCCAACCCACATTGGATCTCCCTCTAAGGCTCAGTTCTTGGTATCTTTCTTGTAAAAGTTCTTAAAATGGTTTTCTGTACTTCTGTTCATATTCTCTCTGGAATCCACTCCAATCACACTTCCAAATGCATCATGCCACTGAAATGACTCTCATTTGAGATCCACAAGTCTGTCCTTGGATGGATAATGTTCTGTCCTTATCCGATTCAATTCTCAGAAACACTTGACCCTTGTATCCATAGTCTCCTTCATAACATAGCTCTTCCTTTGGAGGCCTAGAATCTCTTCTCTCTTGGCTCTCCTTCCCAGTCTCCTCATCTTCTCAGTGTCTAAAGCTGGGGTTCCTCAGGGACCTTTCTTTATAATCCATTTTTCTAACTACAATCACTCCCTAAGTGATCTCAACCAATCCTATGGCTGATACATGGTAACAAGTTTGGCTCTAGTCCTGACTTTTCCCCCAACTCCAGGTTTGAATAAACAACCTCCTAATTAACACCTTACACTTAACATGTCAAAAAACAAATTCTTAACTTTTCTCCAGGTTTCTACAGCAATTCCCCCTCCCCATCTAAATGGCAATCCATTTTCCAGTTGTCCAGAAACCTTTGTCTCCTGATTCCTTTGACTCTTTCTCTCCCATCCCATATATTCCACCCACCAACAAATTCTATTGGTTCTTTCTGAATGTGTTCAGAAAACAGTTACTCTCACCTAAGTCTCAGCATCCCTGCATGATTACTGCACTCCTCTCTAGTCTATTCTTCATATTTCAACATCGAATTTTACATAATGTAAATCAGATCACATCACTATCAATACAAAACCTTCCATGGCTTCCCATCTCAGAGTAAAAGCTAAAGTCCTTTAAAAAACTTGGGAGAACCTATGTGAGCTGCACCCCTTCCTCCCACCTGCTCATCTCCTACTTTGCCTCTTCATTTGGCTCAATGGCTTCAACCACCCGGTCTCCATGCTGTTCCTCACCTTTGCCCTGAACATCGATGCCTCTATGGCCTTTGTGCTTCATCTGCTCCAGAGAGCAGAACTGATCACTACCTCACTTATCACTGCCTCTGTTCAAAGACCACCCCAGTTGTGACATTTTCCTGACCTACTCCGCATAAAAATCACCTCTGCTATAATCTCCTATCTTCCTCTCTCTCCATAACATCCTTTTATTTTTTTCCATAGCAGTTATTACTATAGGACATATGACATCTAATTGCCTATTGGTCCAGTACTTCTCTCTTACTCAGAATCAGGCGAGACCACCAGTGACTAGAATAGTGCCTGGTGCATATGAGGTACTCAAAAAATAACTGAAGAATAAATGAGCCAACATCATTATCATTATTATCTTTACTACTTAAATGAGAGGCTAAGAGCTTGAAGCACAGGAAGTGCATGCAGTGCTACAAAATAGAGTGAAATACAATGCAAAGCCAGGCAGCCTCGCCAGGAGACGGAGATAACAAACAGCCAGAACTGACTGGGAAGGCTGACATGCACTTTATGTGCTAAGGCCAAGGCTATCTGAGGAAAATCATTCCCTACCTTAAAATTTGGTTCTTAATCAAAGCTAGCACATGATCATAAGCAGCTTTTATTCCATGCAGAGCATTGCTATTCAAAGAGTTCTGTATTATTCTATTTCATCACTAATACCTGAGCCCACAAAAAGGGAATATGAAAAATTAATAGAGGAGAAAGATAAAAAAAAAGAAAGGAGAAAATGTGATTTTCTTAAATCAGTAATTTTAAATCTTCTATTATTATTTTGTATATCATATGCCAACAATATCTTCCTTTCTCTTATCTTAGAGCTATTTCTCTATCATATTCTCTTTTCAAGTAGGAGAAAATATATTAAAATAGTAATTTTAATCACTTAGTCAAAGTGATTCAAATTCAAAATAAAATAAATTTCAAGGTCATGTCATTTGTAGTATAGCAACTTATTAAATAGATGGTATCTTTCTTGAAAAGAAGAAAGTGTTTGCGTTTATCATTTTTCAACTGGGAACAGAATCTAATGTCACATAAAAATGTACAGATTTAGAATGAGAATTTGTACTGTATGTGAATAATAAAAAATACAATAAAATAGGGTGATATGCAATATGTGAGAAAATAATGTAAAGGATATTAAATATATTAATAGAACCTAGACATGGTGAAGAAGTTTTTAAAATTCAAGGATCTAACCATGTGTCAGCTGAAGATAGTCTATCAGTTCTAAGCAGAGTAAAAGTATAAATAGAGATAGTCCTTTGAGAAAAATAAAAATGTAATTGAAAGAAAAGTCTAAATTCAGAAAATAAAGCATATAAAATAATATTAACTATTATGGTCTTTACTTGTTTTAAAATTTAATTCTATAGGCTGGGAACATGGCTCAGAAGTAGAGTTCTTTCCTACCATGGGAGTGGCCCTCGTTTGGTTCCCGGAACCCACACAACAACAGCAAAACTTAGATCTATCCTATTGATTTACTGCAAGTCTTTATTTTTTCACGTTCATTTCATATCAATGAAACAGTCTGTGACTTTTTTTTGTCTGTAGTTAGGTAGGTTCTCTACCATGGAGCTCACTCCCAGACCTAGTTTGTAATTCTTTATGATTACATAACTGCTGAATTTAAGATGAGCATGTAGTTTAAAATGTTCCCAACATAATACATTACCATTCCAGAATATATTAGAAAGTTAAATACATTTCATGAGATGCTAAAAGCAATATGCTTTAGACACCTGGACCGTGTATGCGTGTGGTGGTAGTGGGGTAGTTCTGGGGATCAAAGCCAGTCCTCACACATTCTAGGCTACACCCCATTTCAATACATGTACCATTGAAAAATTTTTAGTTAAACGTGAAGAGACAACTTAATGTGAAACAAATGTAGGCAATGAATGCACTTTAAATAAAATGCCTAAGTACTGACAATTAGAAGCAGAAGGGGGTAAAACCCATGAAAATCAGTTCAACTTTTACATTTTTCTAGATTTATGAAGTATTTATTTCACTACACTTAAAACACACACACACACACACACACACACACAAACACACACACTATTGCCATAAGGGTTCAACTTACTTTACAGTGGTCATATTGGAGCTGTAAGGCTGGAACGTCCCCTCCAAGAGGCATCTGTTTCTTAAGCTCTTCATCTTTCATATTCAGCCATTTGATCAGTTCTTCTAAAGACGCCAGCAACCTGTTCCACTTCTCAGCACTGGCCTCCAAATGGGCCCTGTCGAGAGACAGAATACTGACCACATTTAGCAGTTTGGATTATATAATTCACAAAATTATAAACCTTCCTTTAGCCTAATAATCTTATATGACCCACAGCTGTTCATTTGTAGAAAAAAGTATTTCCTGTAAGAAATAGTTATTTTGAATCAGCTAAAATCTCTAAAGAATATGTTGTTAATCTTAACCAAAATTTAAGACATATACCTTCACACCATAAAGACAAGAAGGTGAGGCTTTCAGGAAGGATGTTTGTGACATAATGCAAAATTAGAGACCAAGTGTTGGTAGTTTAGCTAGAATATATTTATAGTATATATGTACAGACAAATATTTTTCTCATTTTCTCTCTCTCTCTCTCTCTCTCTCTCTCTCTCTCTCT